GGGCTGCCCGGATCGCCCGGCGCCGGGGCGAAGTTTGCGCCTGGAGTTTCCCCGGAGCCGGCGGCGGCGGCGGGGGTGGGGACGGGGCCGGACGCTGCCCCCCGCCTCCGAGCCCCGCTCAACTTTTCCGAAGTGCGGCCGCGGGCCCCGGCTCTCCGCTCGCCCGGAGATCGCCGCGAGCACCAGCGCCGAGCCCGAGGGGACTTCTTTTAGGCAGTGGAGAGAGGCAAGGGGAAGGGAAACGACAGCCCATCGGCTCCCAGCCCTGCAAGAGAAGCCCGGCCGGGAGAGAGAACAGGACCTCGCACACACCGACAGCGACACCAAACAGGAGGATCTGGGGCGGGGGACACATCGGTACTCACCGAAAGAAGTCGTTCTTGCAGTAAAGCTTGCCTTCCCGGGAAAAGCATTTCTCTGTCAAATTGCATTTACATTCACAGCACTGCACACACTTCACATGCCAAGCCCTGTCCAGTACATTCAACAAAAACCGGTCCAAGATCGGCCTCTTGCAGCCGGCACAGTGCACCATTGTCTTTGGTTATTCTGAGAGTGGGGCGGGGGCAGGCGCCCAGGTGCCAAGCAGGGGGAATAAAATAGAGAGAGAAAGAGAAGAAGGGGCAGCAAGAATAATAACGGGAGGAGCAGGATGGATCCTGCTTGAAAAAGAAAAGCAGGTTGGTTGCGTGCGGGGTTTGCTCTAAGAAAAGCCTTGGATGAGGAAAAGAATAGTAATAATAATAATAATAATAATAATAAATAACAACAACAACAACAACAATAATAATAATAAAATAGGGAGGAAGAATAATCTTCGTTCAGATGTCCTAAGCGGGCCACACACCGGGGGGGACAAAACCAGCGGTTTGCCCAGCCTTGCAGCCCGGATCCCGGCCGCTAGCACGGATCCAGGAGCAGGGACAGGGGGCAGAGGGCTGCGCGCATTGCGAAGACAAGGGGGGAGGGAAAAAGGGGAAAAAAGCGAAACGAAAAGCGACAATGGTGAAAACCCAGCGAAAAGCAAATGTGATGAGTTTTCTCAGGTCTGAGGTAGAGCAGTCAGGAGTCAAAGTGCATCTGCTTTTCCCAAAGAGAAATAGGAGGACCAAAAAAAAAAAAAAAAATCGACGACGAGAAGAATGAAAAGAAGAAGAAAAGGACAAAAAAAAGAGCAGAAGACTCAAAAGGAGCTTTGGATGCTAACCTAGCAGCATTGCTCTAGGCTGGCCGCCGCCGGGGCGGGGCAGCTCCGTGCTAGACGGACAGAGAGAGGCTCATGCTCCGGATCAGGCCGCTGCGCGCTCCCCCGGCGGTGGCCGCAGTCCGTCGTGCCACGGTGTCGAGCTGCAGGACGGGCCCTGCCCCCGTCTACGCGGCTACTCCACTAGTCACAAGTCCCAGGCCGGGCCGCGCAGGGGCCAGGCTGCCGGGCATGGTGCGCTTGGCGGGGCGCGGGCTTTGCCGTGGTTTGGTTTTGGGCTGGTTTGGTTTGGTTTGGTCTGGGGGTGGGGGAGCTTGCTTTTTTTTTTCTTTTTTTTTTTGCTGGGTTTTTAGTCTTCAGCGCGGCTCCGGCCCCAAGGATCCCATCGGCGGACGACGAGGAGCAGGCGGCGGGAGAAGCGCTGGGTCGGGCTCTCCCGCGCGGGGGAGGGACGGGCTGGAGCCTCGGGGTGTCGCGGCGGCGGTGCGCGGCGGTGCCTCCGCTCCCGGCTCCCGGCAGCTCCTCAATGGACCGCATGTTCCCCACCGCTCCCGAGCCGGAGCCTTATGCACCGAGCTCCCACGTCACGGCCGCGGGCAGCCAATCGCCGGCCCTCTCGCCCCCCCTTCCCCGGCAAACAATTAAGCATCTTCCCCGAGCCGGGACAGGAGGGAGACCCATTTAGAGAGCCTAAGAGGGAGCGACCCATTGTCCAAATTGTTGGGTAATGTCATCTCTTCCGTTCTCCGCTCCGAGCCGCTCACATCTCTGAAGGACATCTCGGGGCGCGGAGCGGGGCTGGCTGTAGCGCTTTAGGAGGGGTGTTGCGTGCACACGTTACACCAGCAGACACACGGGGTGGCAAGCCCGGTAGGTGCTATTTTTGGGGGGTGTGCGCGCGGGGCGGGGAGGGAGGTGCGTGTCTCCCCCCCACCCCCAGCTCAAGGGCAGAACTGGATTTGGATCCAGCATATAAACGGGGGGGCGGGGGGAGAGTATTACGATTATTAATATTCTTATTTTTCGCGGGTGATCTGATGAAGAAAATCAGGCAGGGCATCAAGGCAGCCGCTTGCTTTCACGGAGCGGCGGGCAGAGACTTGGCAGGCGAGGCGGCGGGGAGTCGGGGCGCGCGGTTCAGCGGGATTAGCTGTTGCTCTTTTTCTTCCAGAGCAGTGTCTGGGTCGGGACAGACGCGAGGCCGCGCCGGTGTGGTCTCTGGGCTGCATCAAGCGAGGGCATCTCATGGGAAAGGATCGAGAAGTGTGAAAGCAAGGGGAAAAACCCAAAGAAGCCCAACAGGTTTTTTTCTGGTGCCGGGGTCGCTTCCTTGCGCGGCTCCGGCGCGGGGGCGGGGGCCGGGCGGCCGCAGAAGGGCCCGGGCAGGCGGCG